AAGAATATCACTTTAAGTGACAACTCTTCCAATAAACACATAAAACACAAAGATTACACTCTGGTCACATAAAATTGATCCACTTTAAAACGTATCTTTAACTGTCTTTCCAGCTGTCTTTGCACCCTTCCCTCTTTTTCAAAAAAACAATTACTTAGCCCTAAATCAGCAGCCTGACTTCACAACAAGGTAATTTCAAGGGCTGTTTGGATAAGAACCAATAGTTCTTAACTAATACAAGCAAATCTTGACAACATGCATCTCTATGAAAGCAATGTTGAATTTAGAATTCCAAATATAAGTGGGATTAGAAAGACGTTCTATTCAAGAGATAAAAATTGTTGGGAAAAGAAAATACTCGGCTGCTCTGCCTATGGGGTAGGCATAGCTTTGGGGTAGGTATGCTTTGCTTTTTTTTTTTTTTTTTTAAAGACAGAATCTTGCTCTGTTGCCCAGGTTGGAATGCAGTGGTGCAATCTCAGCTCACTGCAACCTCCGCCTCCCGGGTTCAAGAGATTCTCCTGCCTCAGCCTCCCGAGTAGTTGGGATTACAGGCACCTGCCACCACATCCAGTTAATTTTTGTATTTTTAGTAGAGACAGGGTTTCACCATGTTGGCCTGGCTAAGGTGACTGACCTCAGGTGATCCACCTGCTTTAGCCTCCCAAAGTTTGGGATTACAAGCATGAGCCACCACACCCAGCCTATTTCTTTACTTTTTTAATAAACTTGCTTTCACTTAAAAAAAAAAAAAAAAACCTAACTCATAGATGAGTAGTTTAAGATAGTCTAGTAAATATCAATATATCATTACTTAACAGTCTCTTTACTCACTATGGTTACAAAAAATATTTCTAGAGGGGTTTGTTTGCTTTTTAAAGGAATTGGAACTGACAAATAGTACCTTGCCTTCTAGACGAAAGTTTATTGTTGTTTTTGTTTGCTTGCTTTGTTTTTTGAGACAGGGACCCAAACCGGTCTCAAATACCTGCACTCAAGTGATCCTCCTGCCTTTGCTGGGACTATAGGCACACATCACCACACCTGGCTAAACTAAAGATTTGCCTGTATAGCCACTTTCTAAGGAACCAAAAAGTAACTTTCAACAATAATCATCATAATTTGGCCTGGAAAATTCAAACTGTTGCCACTGATTTATATAATTCTATTGACCTACAAATGAGTACTATGCCCACTATGACTCTCACGTATTTGATAACTTAGCAACAAAAAGCAGTATAGCTTGCTGGACTCTATCATACACTCAGCATTTCTTGATAAAAAAAAAGGAAAAAAGAAAAAAAAAGAATAGAGAAAAAAAAGCTTGCTGTAACAGGATGTTTAAAAAAAAAAAGAAAAAAGTTGAGAAAGCAGTAAAGCTAAATTTATACAGATTCTACACTGATTTTTCATTTTTAGTTTTAAAAATGAGAATGGTTAATTTTAAGTGATAAAGATGACATTAATAACTATTAGAGGAAAAAGTCTGTCTGACTCCTGAAGAGGATTTTTTGCAAATATGTATAAACTGAGTTTTACAGAATATAAATAAATTCTCTTTGATTCTTCCCACATGACTAACAACTATCACCTTTTTTCTGGCTGTTTTTCTTTTCCTCTCCAAATTGCTTAAGAGTGAAATGAATATTACCTAATTCAGGAAATGACAAGTATTCTGAGCATTGTTTTAATATCATGCTTGAGAGACAAAATTTATCTTTAAATTCTAAAATATATGAGTCTACATAAATCCAAAAGAACTCAACTCAAGTTAAATCAAGCAGCCATCATTTTCTTTCTTTTAAAAATACTGCCATTTTGACTCTGTAGAATATGTCCTCTTTATAGTTCAAACATGTCACCCTGTCACATATTGACAGTGATACTAAAAACTATATGCAAAGTTTATGTGATATAAATCCTATCTTCATGTCAAAAAAATAATGTTTTATAATATTTATTTATTTATTTTATTATTATTTTTTTGACACTGAGTCTCGCTTTATCACCCAGGCTGTAGTGCAATGGCACGATCTTGGCTTGCTGCAACCTCCACCTCCCAAGTTCAAGCAATTCTCCTGCCTCAGCCTCCCAAGTAGCTGTGATTATAAGCACCCGCCACGATGCCTAATTTTTGTATTTTTAGTAGAGATGGGGTTTCACCATGTTGGCCAGGCTGGTCTCCAACTCCTGACCTCAAGTGATCTTTCTGCCTTGGCCTCCCAAAGTGCTAGGATTACAGGCGTGAGCCACTGTGCCTGGCCGAATTTTTATAATATTTAGATTCATTCATTAAGAAGTTGGAAAGCTACTGAGGTCTGGTCAATTCACATGTCACAAAATGATCCTTCGGCTTTCATTAAATGCCAAATGCAAAGTAGGTCTCCTAAAGAGACTCTGCAAGGAACTTATGCAAATAAGAGGGAAGATCCCAAAACAGTATGTAAAAAGCAAGCACAGATAGGACTAGGAGTATCAAAGAGCACTAACTGGAAGGGAATGCTCAGCACCGTAATAATGTGATACATCTGGGAACTATCAGAAAACTCATGAGCCTGAATTCCATTGTTTAATGCTTACAGTATGCAAATAATGATTACATATGGTAAATATTAAATAAATATTTGCTGAGTAATAATTGCTTTGTATTCTCTCAATATTTATTCACAGGGTGCATTACAAATATATCTGTTAATTGACCAATACAGGATAATAAAAATACATTTTCCATTCAGTATTACTACTAGTAGATGTTCTTCGGGTTAAAGTGTTAGAAATCAGGTCCTCCCTTAAGTCAAGAAATGGAAGAGGAACAGACAGACTTTTGAGAGGAAAGCAACTTCCTTGCTTTAAGGAGCTGCTCTAGAAATCCTGGCTTCCTTTCACACACAAAAAGCAAATAACAACCAGAATCTGATTATCTGCAGGCTATGTATGTCACCTAGAAACTAAATATGTCTCAAACATTCACTTTCTCTTTATTTAGTGGCCATCTTTATTTTAGGGCACAGAATGATCACCAACTCTTGGTTATGGACAGCACCAGGCACCCTTATTCGGCCGTGCCTAGTTACTCTAAGTGAGGCTCCCAGGTCCAGGATCATTGGCATCACCTAGAAGCTTGTTGGAAATGCATGCTCAGGTCCCAACCCAGACCTACTCAATCAGTTTCTAAGTTTTTTTTTTTTTTTTTTGAAACAGAGTTATGCTCTTGTTGCCCAGACTGGAGTGCAATGGCGCAGTATCAGCTCACTGCAACCTCCACCTCTGGTTCAAGCGATTTTCCTGCCTCAGCCTCCTGAGTAGCTGGGATAGAGATGGGGTTTCAGCATGTTCACCAGGCTAGTCTCTAACACCTGACTTCAGGTGATCCGCTCACTTTGGCCTCCCAAAGTGCTGGGATTACAGGCGTGAGCCACTGCACCCGGCCAAGTTTTGGTTTCCTCAACTATAAACTGGAGGTAATATTGCATATTTTACTTATACATACACCTACCAAAGAGGGTTGTTTTGAGGATCAAGTAAATTGAAGGATGTTAATGCTCTCTGTAAATTATAAAGCACTATACAAATACAAGGCATTATCGTTAATAATAGAGCTTAATTACATCTGTCCTCGTTTGATCTCTCACAGACCATCAGAGGCATGTTATTAGAATGTACTACATTATTAAGATAAAAGACTTCTCTGTGTGTCACAAACCTTTTAAGCCACTAATCACATTGTAGCTAGTACTTTCCGTTTTCATTAAAAACTTAATGCTAACAAGGCCTCCTAATGCGCCTCGGTCGGTAACACTGCTATTACCTTGCCCCAAACCCTTGATTTATTCTTACAATCCATTCTTTTTAGGGTTTTATTAGAATTTGCAAGATAACAAACTAACTGGTTTAATCCATGCCCACGTCTGAGAATGAGGTGCCCCGGAAAACGTTGCTTCTGCTCAAGTCCTTCGCTTTCCTGGCCCACGTAGCACTAGCCCCTTCTTCTCCAAAACACAGATCATGACTATCAGACTGTAATTTACACGTTGTATTTTATACTAAGGAGAGAAGCCTTATCTTAAATAAAAGATATGAATGAATCTTAAAAAATGAGAACTTCCTAAGCTGCATCCACAGTATCCAAAGGTTAGTTATACTTTATTCTTACATATCAAATGAATGCTGAGAAGGTCTTATTACCACAGCTTTGTTAACCAAAATTGGTTGGCTTTAAAAAAATCTAACTAATGGATCAACTTATTTATTCATGAGATTCAGTTTCTATCAAATCTGGGAAATCCATTACCATTATAAAATGCTGAAGCCATTAGTATTACATCAATAGCTGGGACCTTAAACAGACTTTCCAGCTGCTCACCCAAATCCTCCCTCCCTCAAAGGAAGCAGGCCTTCTGTCCTGCCTGTGCTGGGTATGCAGCCTCTGCTCCGACCGCTACCACACATGCCACTGAGAACCTGGTTGAGAATTCAGACTCCATGCAGGGGAACAGGAAAGGAGTAACACATGCAACTGTGCAGCAACATGTTTGGACACAGTTTAACTTAAAAAAAAAAAAAAACTGCCCAGCGTAAGAACAATCCCAAAGTCAGCCCAAGAGCAGAGAATTAGTACTATCAAGTGATCAGAAACAAAACCAAGGCAAACTCCCACCAAATTCAATATTCAGAGTAATTATTAAAAGAACCACCACTGATGCAAATTCCAAAACCACTATCAAGAGGTAAAGGCTACCAGAAAAGCTCTATTTCCTTAAAAAGTATTTGGTTGTTAACAGAAGTAAAGATTTGGCTTTAAGTCATAAAAAGTCCAAAAGAATACCTCTATGGACTATTTTTCAGGCTAAGGCTACCAGGAAATTTAAGTTCATTCTCCATTAAGGAAATGATAGAATAGTGCATGGTATCATTTTGGGTGAGTGCTGCTCTGTGGAACATGGAAAGCATGGGAACAAGCTGCCCTTTTCCCAACAGTTTAGCGGATTCAGGACTCCTACCAGTCTCTGCTGCTCCAAAAGAAGATCTGCTTCTTCCTTCTCCTTTTTGTATAAGATCTCCATTTCCTGTAGCCTAGAAGTAAAAAAAAAAAAAAAAAAAAAAAAAAGGCAAAAAGAATAAACTGTGAAGTCACCGAGCTATTATTTGAAGAATGCTATTAAGTGTTTAAAAGAAGAGATAGTCACGTGGGCTGCGGAATTGTGCATTACCTTTTCTCCATCTCTTGTTTCATATCAATTCCTTGTTTTTCCAGAAGCTCTCTCTGGGCAAATGTCCAGTCCACAGGCTCAGAGGGGGTCTCAGCAGAAGGAGTCTTCTCTCGTTCAGCTCGTGCTTGTTCCGGGTGGTTAAAACGGAAAACATGGTTTTTACCCATGATGATACGGTTTCCTAGAAACAGAAAAATAGGGTTTCCAAAATAGAAAAATAAGGTTAAGAAATAATTTTTAAAATATATAGTATCTATTTAATAAACTCACCCTCCCTAATGTGAAGACAGCTTTCAGAGCCGTTGTTTTTATAAGAACAAAAATCCTAATGCTAGTACTTCAGCCTTTAAACAGCCAAAAATTAGAGTTGTCACACAAGCCATGTGCACATTGCTGAAGATGGCAAACCTCTCCCAGTCTCACCTGAGCGCAGCTGAACAGGCTGGGACACTCTCTTGCCATTTACGTAGGTTTCTGAACGCTCACAGGGCTCTAGGGTCACGATAACTAAGAGGAACACAAACTAATGTTATCATCACAAACCACTGGAATCAAACAATGGAAAGCAGTTGCTTATCAGGATTTGTGGTAAGTAGAATAAATCCCTGCAATCATGCGGCTGAAGTGTCTATACAGTAGTTCACTTTGGGGTACTAGAACTAGTCTCAATAGAAGAGGCTATCATTTAACTCTATGTGATTAACCTAAGATAACAGAAAATATTAGTTTTGGTGATCTCTGACAGTTCAGTCAATAAAACTCAAAACCGTCAGAAATCGTTAAGGATGAGACACAGGTAATAACCAGAAACTTAAGATTGAAAAGCTTTTTTTTTTTTTTTTTTTTTTGAGACAGAGTCTCACTCTGTCACCCAGGCTGGAGTGCAGTGGTGCAATCTTGGCTCACTGCAACCTCAGCCTCCCGGGTTCTACAGGGAGAAAGTGATTCTCCTGTCTCAGCTACCTGAGTAGCTCACCACTACATCCAGCTAATTTTTTTGTATTTTTAGTAGAGATGGGGTTTCACCATGTTGCCCAGGCTGGTCTCAAACATCTGACCTTGTGATCTGCCCGCCTCAGTCTCCCAAAGTGCTAGGATTACAGGCATGAGCCACCGCATCCAGCCAAAAAGCCAGTATTTTGATAAAAGAATGAGTGAATTATATAACACAAAAATATCATTAGATTGTTGCTGTTTTGTTAATAACCCAGGCAAAAATCAAGACTTTTTCTTCCCTTTTAGATAAAAATAAATTCTACTGTGTTAAGACTTAATCTCTTTCAAATCTCCTATTACCCAGGATTTTTGTTATTTTCTTGATTTTCTATTAAATAATTAACATTCAAGACCAAGCCTAATTGCCTATATCCTGCTTGGTTCTTGGCAGTAACAAAAGGGCTTCTTTTGTCCAAGCTATTTTCATGTAAAGTAGCCCTGTCCATCTCTGCATTCACAAGCAGTCCAGGTTTCTACATTTTTCAGAATTAGGTTGTATAAGAAAGTACTACTGATAGAGAACACAAAGTCTTAAGGACTTCTCATAATATGAAATGAAAAAGTTGTTGCTGAAGCTCCAGCCAGGATGCTCACCTTCACCGCTGTTGCTTCTCTCACTCCGGAAGATACAATGCTCTTCTTTAATGTGAGCTCCGCTTAGCACTATGTCCTGGCGCCGCTCAGCATCTGCCTGGCCAACCCTGAACACAAGAGAAAGTGTTTCCCAGGGAAATTCAGACACAGAAAGCACTACAAACAATGAACCTCTTTCTCCCAAAGAAAATCCTTTGGTACGTGAAAAAGAAGGTATTGCCTTTTTGCATTAGAAGCTTTCAACTACAAATTCCATCCTCATATATGATCAACATCTGTATATCAGAATAAGAAACAAGGAACACTGAAACACCAGTGTAACTCATACAGCATTATAAGAAGGCATGAGTGAAATAAAATCCCTAAGTAATGTATGTAAGTTGTTAAAGGAAAAAAATTTATTTAGGGTCTTCAGAGAAAAACTACATGTTAACTGGTTCCACTGGCAAAAACACATTATTTGGAAAGAGCGGATAGTTTGTAACTATTTCAGACAAAAAATACAGCAAATCATTACATTAAAATTTTCAACACCTCTTTAGTTACTGAATTATCTAAGAGGGGAAAAAAACATGAAGTGGCCAAAACAAGAAAGAAATGTACCTTGTAATTCCATCTTTGATGTAATAAAGCAGGCACTCAGACATTAGTGGGTCTTCATTGAGGTTAACAAGATGTGGGGTCTGAAAAAGGTTACAGATGATCAGTTTGGAGCAGGGCACCATGAGAGAGCTGTGGTAACAACTGGGGCCTATAGGAAGCCAGGCTCCTTCAACTCTCCATAGAGCGTAGAGAGGGATTTGTTTTTATCTCTAGTTGCGGTTCCATAATGAAGAGAAAATACTCTCTTCAGGTCTCCCCAAACTGAACCAATGCATTCTATTATATTAAATTTAATTAATTAATTGATTTGAGACAGAGTCTTGCTTTGTCATCCAGACTGGAGTGCAGTGGCACGATCTTGGCTCACTGCAACCTCCGCCTCCCAGGTTCAAGCGATTCTCCTGTCTCAGCCTCCCAAGTAGCTGGGATTACAGGTGCCCATCACCACACCTAGCTAATTTTTGTATTTTTAGTGGAGACAGGGGTTCCCCATGTTGGCTAGGCTGGTCTCAAACTCCTGAACTCAAGTGATCCACCCTCCTCGGACTCCCAAAGTGCTGTCATTACAGATGTAAGCCACTTCACCTGGCATTCTATTTTAAAGCATGAGTTCTGGGATAAAACAAGATCCAATTAATGATAAAGTCAAAACAAAAGGAAAAAATTAGGACGGGCCAATTAGCTGAATGGAATAATTATAATTTTTCTAAATGCCTGGGTAAAAATCTCAAGAAATATTTAATTCTTCATGTACTTTTATTAAAATGTCCCCATACACCCCCTGCCACTTTCCAGTATAATTTTTATCAGTTCTTCTATGGTCCCAGTTATTGCCTTTAGTTTATTAGTCTTAAACTTAAAGAAAAAATTAAAATTACTGACATTCAATAATATAAACATCCTCTAACAATCCTCTTCATCTAACTCTAATATTTCTAAATTCTTTTTTTCTTAAAAAACCAACCTTCTTTGGTGAAAATACCCCACTGGAATCCAAAAATAAGTCACATGGTCTTGGGGCCAAAATCTACTCAAGAGAGTGCCAGCAAGTGTGGAAGAATGAAAAAAGAGTCAGATAAGGGGGGGGTAAGAAAAGGGACTATAAAAGATGGTTAAAGAGAAATTTGAAAAAACCTCCACATCTCCTCAACTAGCAACCACCTTGTAGTTAAAGAACTTGACTGGTTTGAGAAAGTCAAAGCCCTTTGTGGGTAGCGTTCTTTAAAGCACATCATGATTTGAAAAATGGAATCTCAGAAACAAGTCCTAAGACTGAGTTTGGGTGTGGTCACGGTATGTCTCTTCCTTTCACGAAGAAGTGTAGAAAGATGGGTAAAATTACAGAAAAAGCTTTGGAAACAGAGATCTCACTTTGGAATTCCATGCAGTTGAGATCTCAACACTTGTTCAAGTTATTTATGATTCATGTTAAATGCCATATTTTCACAAGTTGTTACAGTAAAAATGTTCCGGCTGGGCGTGGTGGCTTATGCCTGTAATTCCAGCACTTTGGGAGGCCAAGGTGGGCAGATCATGAGGTCAAGAGATCAAGACCACCCTGGCCAACATGGTGAGACCCCGTCTCTATTAAAAATACAAAAATTAGCTGGGTGTGGTGGCGTGCACCTGTAGTCCCAGCTACTTGGGAGGCTGAGGCAGAAGAATCGCTTGAACCTAGGAGGCGGAGGTTGCAGTGAGCTGAGATTACACCACTGTGCTCCAGCCTGGATGACAGAGAGAGACTCCGTCTCACAAAAAAACACACAAAAAAACCACCAAAACTGTTAACTGCTAAAATCTATACAATCATAAGTAACACGTCTGAATAAATACATGTCTTACTGAAAAAAAAAAATTACTAAAACTGTGAAAAACACTAAACTTTCATAATATAAACATATAAAATATTTATTGTTCTATTCTACAATACGCAAATGTCTTTACATCAATCTTTTCTGTTAAAAATGATACATTAGAATTTGAAAAAAAAAAAAAAAGTTATGTGACCAGGACAGAAAAATTTACCCAGAAGAATTGTAGCAAAAACCACAGGAATATTTCATATCACATAAAAGTACCAATTCAAAACTTACCACCCTTTGTATCCTAACTTAGAGAGGCCATCATCAGAACCTACGCATAAAGATGTTTAAGTCTCCAATAGCTAATCAGAGGTTACTTAAAATAAAGGACCATTTACTAGTGGCATAAAATACATGCTTTGTACATCAATATATGTTCTCCTGTTCTCTGATACATAAGCACACAAAATAACCATTTGATAATCATTTTCTAGTATCCAACAATAAGTTCGTTTGCAAACAAACAAACAAACAAACAAAACAATACTACTCTAATTAGCTAAAAGGTACCTCACTACTTTATGGTTCTGTAAGTAGGAAGGTAACTATTGGAGTCACTTATTAAAAAACAACCTAAGAAGGAAGCAGACGAGTCTGGAAGGATAGGGACAGGAATTTCTTTACTCAGCACAATGGTTGTCTGTAATACAAATTGCAGAAGCAGACGGAAGCAGTATTATTCTACACAAACCTGAACTTCAAGCTGAAATAGGTTCCAAAAAGTTATAAAGCAGGGTAGATGACTTCTGTGGGAAAATCTACATCAAAGAGTAGCCAAAACTGAGGCAAAATATGATAGGTTAGGCTGGGAATGTAAGAGAAAGCAACAAATAAAGATGACTAAACATACTGAATCATGGCCAAAAGTTACAGATATACTGCCTTAGGTTTTTTCTTTTGTAAATAGTAAACCTGATAGGCATTTTAGAAATAGGTTGCCTTTGTACTACAAGACCATACTCTAAGATGAAATCAGAAATATCTGAAATTAAGCCAAGTATCAAGATCATAAAAGGGGGAAGAGGGTAAGTCCTGAAAGATATGAAGTGCCCCAGTAACAAAGACAAACAAAAAGTGTCTCTGTCTGATTAGGTTTCATAACATTGTTTCCTACCTTTTTAGGTGAGAAAACCCCTAGTGTTCCTCCATCTTCCCGAATGGCAACTCCCATCTCAGCCAACAAAGCCTCTCTAGGAAAAAAACAGGTATATCAGAATACCAACACCAAAATGTCAATTAAATCAGTCTAATAAGGATTGGGAAATAAAGCCTGCAAACCAAAAACAACTGGCCATATTTAAAGTCAATAATGCAAACATAAAATAATGTGCTTATCTCATCATTAATGAGAAGTTATTTCTAAAAGCAACATCACATTCAAAATAAATTAAATCTTGCTTTGTTAATTATATTCACTCAAATAAGAACTTTGTCTCAACCAACTTTGGAGACAGCCAATAATTCATAAGTAATATGTATATTAATATAAAAAAAAAAAAGGAAGTGACTATTCCTTAAGTTATAAATTCAACCTGAAGAAACACTTCTTCAAAATCTAAGAAGCAATCAGAAAGTAATTTTGATATGTGGAGTATAGTCTACTAATGTGATTTTCTCAAATGTTATGTTCCCTCGCCCACCTGTTTCAATAATTTAGCTTAAAATTGCTGTAATAAGTAAAAAAATTCTGTTTGTTACGTTTACTATATCACTACATTATTAGTAACTTCTGCCTCATCTTCATGAACAAGAAAAACAGAAACTGGCTTTTTCAAATGTAGTCTAATCTAATAGCAAAAGAAGGTGGGTTATGCTCACCTTCAGGATAGAGTGGTGATAGACGTTAGGACAGAATAGGGATTTTTAAAGTTTGCAGCCAGATTGGGCGTGGTGGCTCATGCCCGTAAGCCCAGCACTTTGGGATGCTGAGGCAGGTGGATCACTTGAGGTCAGGTGCTCGAGACCAGCTTGGCCAACATAGTGAAACCCCATCTCTACTAAGAATACAAAAATTAGCTGGGTGTGGTGGCAGGTGCCAGTAATACTCAGGAGGCTGGGGAGGAGAATCACTTGAGCCTGGGTGGTGGAGGTTGCAGTGAGCCAAGACTGTGCCCTTGCATTCTAGCCCGGGCAACAGAGTGAGACTCCATCTCAACAACAACAAAAAAGTTTTCAACCCAAACTCCTTCACCTCTTTACCAAAGAAATTCTCAAGAAGGCACCTTTGAAAGACAATAATCAGAACAGCTATTTGGATGTCAGCCTTTATCAAAAGAAGCCGACTCTATCCCTCAATATGCTCCTATTTCCTTTTATTATTATTTTTAAGACAGGGTCTTACTCTGTCAACCAGGTTAAAGTGCAGAGGTGAGTTCACAGCTCACTACAGCCTTGACTTTCAGGGCTGAAGCAATCCTCCTGCCTCAGCCTCCCAAGCAGCTAGGACTACAGGCATAAGCCACCACACCCAGCTTATTTTTTAACATTTTTGTTTTTTGTTTTTTTGAGATGGAGTTTCACTCTGTCACCCAGGCTGGAGTAGTACAGAGCCATGATCTCGGCTCACTGTAACCTCTGCTTCCCGGGTCCAAGCAATTCTCCTGCCTCAGCCTCATGAGTAGCTGGGATTACAGGCGCCCACCATCATGTTGAGTTACTTTTTTTTTTTTCGAAACAGTCTTGTTCTGTTGCCCACGCTTGAGAGCAGTGACACAATCTCAGCTCACTGCAATCTCCGCCTCCCGAGTTTAAGTGATTCTCTAGCCTCAGCCTCCTGAGTAGCTAAGATTACAGGTGCCGGCCACCACGCTCAACTAAGTTTTGTATTTTTAGTAGAGATAGGGTTTTCACCAGTGTTGGCCAGGCTGGTCTTGAACTCCTGGCCTCAGATGATCCGCCCACCTTGGTCTCCCAAAGTGCTGGGATTACAGCACCTGGTCTAATTTTCTGAATATTTTGTAGAGACAGGGTCCCACTATATTGCCCAGGCTGGTCTTGAACTCTTGGCTTCAAGCATTCCTCCCACCTTGACCTCTCAAAGTGCTTGGATTACAGGTGTGAGCCACTATGTCTGGCCAGTATGTTCCATTTTTTATGGATCCCTAGCAACATATAATAACTATTAAACACGTGACTCCCTGGAGTCATATGACATATTACAAGCATAAATTCAACTGGCCATAAATCCCTGACCATATTTTTTTGTTTTGTTTTGTTTTGTGTTTTAGAAGGGCAGATTCTTTGATTTTAATTTCTATTTTACCTTTTCTTACTATAAAGTAATCCACATTCCCTAGAAAACTTAGAAACATTTCCAGATTTTAACCCCCCTCCTGACCTCTCCATTCTGATGGCCTCTGTTTTACGAAGCTTCTCTTCCCAGGTTTCATTCAACTCAGCAATGATTTTCTCTGATTCCTAAGGAAGGAAGTACACAGTTAAAAGGGCAAAGAGTCTTATAATTTAACATAACATGCTAGAAAAGCAAGAAGCAAATTATGCCCTTTGAGGGCAGAATTAAATGTGATGAGATTTTTATTAGTATGTAAGACAAGAATCATAAAGATAGGCCTAAAACTAAATCAACCCCAAACATATAAATCCTGAAGTCTTAATAAAAACACCTTAGGCCGGGCGTGGTGGCTCACGCCTGTAATCCCAGCACTTTGGGAGGCCGAGGCGGGTGGATCACGAGGTCAAGAGATCGAGACCATCCTGGTCAACATGGTGAAACCCCGTCTCTACTAAAACTACAAAAAATGAGCTGGGCATGGTGGCGTGTGCCTGTAATCCCAGCTACTCAGGAGGCTGAGGCAGGAGAATTGCCTGAACCCAGGAGGCGGAGGTTGCGGTGAACCGAGATCGCGCCGCTGCACTCCAGCCTAGGTAACAAGAGCGAAACTCTGTCTCAAAAAAATAAAAATAAAAATAAAAACACCTTAATAGGCCGGGCGTGGTGGCTCATGCCTGTAATCCCAACACTTTGGGAGGCCGAAGTGGGCAGATCACGAGGTCAGGAGTTTGAGACCAGCCTGGCCAACATAGTGAAAACCCCACTCTACTAAAACTACCAAAAAAATTAGCCAGCCGTGGTGGCGGGCTCCTGTAGTCCTAGCTACTTGGGAAGCTGCAGCAGAAGAATTGCTTGAACCAGGAGGCAGAGGTTGCAGTGAGCCAAGATCACGCCACTACACTCCAGCCTGGATGACAGAGCAAGACTCTGTCTCAAAAAAACCCAAACAAACACCTTAATAGTGAGTCTGTCTGTATGTATGTGTGTGTTAGAGAAGGAAGGATAATATTAACATTCCAAAATACAAGATACTTTTTCTTTTCTTTTTTGAGATAGAGTTTCGCTCTTGTTACCCAGGCTGGAGTGCAATGGCGTGATCTCAGCTCACCACAACCTCTGCCTCCTGGGTTCAGGCAATTCTCCTGCCTCAACCTCCTGAGTAGCTGGGATTACAGGTACGCGCCACCATGCCCAGCTAATGTTTTGTATTTTTAGTAGAGACGGGGTTTCACCATGTTAACCAGGATGGTCTCGATCTCTTGACCTCGTGATCCACCCACCTCGGCCTCCCAAAGTGCTGGGATTACAGGCTTGAGCCACCGCGCCTGGCTGCAAGATACTTTTTCTAACAATCACTTCTATAAAAGAATAAAGTCCCCAAAGGTATTTACTGCTTTTGTTTCACTACAATTTTGCCGTAACACGATAACCTGCTGAACACAACCCAACAGTAAAAACAGAAAGGTTTATTATAAATCTCATCTGAAGGCACAGAGCCACTGAAGTGACAATTTACCAATCACTTGCTGATTGTTTACACTTACATAAGTATAAGAACCTAAAGCATACGGGGCTTAAAACCTAGATGATGGGTTGATAGGTGCATCAAACCACCATGGCACATATATGCCTATGTAACCTGTACATTCTGCACATAAAGTAAAATTTAAAAAGTAATAAGAAATAAATAAAATAAGAACCAAAACATGTTTCCTGGTCTCAAAGAGGTTAGTATATACTGAGGAGAGAGACAAGTAGCTGAAGATTTATTCATTCAATAATTATATATAACCCCATTACATATCAAGCCTTGTTCAAGGTACCTATGGATATGGCAGAGAACAAAATCTCTTACTTCATAAGATTTACATCATAGTAAGGAGACTAATTTATTTTATTTTATATTTTATTTGAGACGGAGTCTCATTCTGTTGCCCAGGCTGGAGTGCAGTGGCGCGATCTTGGCTCACTGCAACTTCCACCTCCCAGGTTCACGCAATTCTCCTGCTCAGACTCCTGAGTAGCGGGGACTGCAGGTGCGCACCACTACGACCCGCAAGTTTTTGTCTTTTTAGTAAAGACGGGGCTTCACCATTATTGATTAGGCTGGCCTTGAACTCCTGATTTCTTTTTTTTTTTTTTGAGACGGAGTTTCACTCATGTTACCCAGGCTGGAGTGCAATGGCACGATCTCGGCTCACCGCAACCTCCGCCCCCTGGGTTCAGGCAATTCTCCTGCCTCAGCCTCCTTAGTAGCTGGGATTACAGGCACGCATCACCATGCCCAGCTAATTTTTTGTATTTTTAGTAGAGACGGGGTTTCACCATGTTGACCAGGATGGTCTCGATCTCTTGACCTCGTGATCCACCCGCCTCAGCCTCCCAAAGTGCTGGGATTACAGGCTTGAGCCACCGCGCCCGGCAAACTCCTGATTTCATAGGCGTGAGCCACCGTGCCCAGCCATGATAATCCATTTTAATCAGTAAGTATACAGTATGTCAGATAGTGGCAAGTGCTCTGGAGAAAACTAAAGCGACAAAGGGAAAGAACGGACAGGGAAGGGTAGTTCAGGAAGCAATTTGAAATGAGGTTGTCAGGACAGGCCTCACTGACTCAGTGACACGTGAACAGACCAAAGAAGAGCAGAAGCTGCCATATGAACATGTGGAGTAGGAAAATACCTGGAGTTTTCTAGGAATAATTGTGTTGCTAGAGTAGTGTCTGAGGATTGAATACGGCTACAATAGGAGATAAGAGAACAGTGTACTGGCTGGGTGTGGTAGCTCATGCCTGTAATCCCAGCACTTTGGGAGGCTGAGGGGGTTGGATTACAGGGTCAGGAGTTCAAGGCCAACCTGGCCAATATGGTGAAACCCTGTTTCTACTAAAAATACACAAAATTAGCCAGCCGTGATGGCAGGCACCTGTAGTCCTAGCTACTCAGGAGGCTGAGGCAGAAGAATCACTTGAACCTGGGAGGCGGAGGTTGCAGTGAGCCGCGATTGCACCACTGCACTCCAGCCTAGGTAACAGAGCAAGACTCTGTCTCAAAAAAAAAAAAAAAAAAAAAAAAAAAGGGAACAGTGTACCAAGAGCTAGAATTAGAGTATTCATAGGTCTCTATAACATGGGTGAATCAAGGTGAGTGAGGCCCAGACAGAGAAATGAAGGACAAGTAGGAATTAACTAGTCAAAGAATGGAAGGAAAAGGAGTACCAAAAACGGGGATAAGCACATGCAAAAGCAGGTGAAAATGCTAGTCATAGAGACGAAGTTAGAAAGTCAGATGATGATAATGAAATGACTGTAATGATGCTAGTAGTGATTAACAAGGAAAATGCTATAGTTCATCAAAGAGTTCAATGTATGACTCATATAGCAGGTCACTAAAGAAGCCTCTTGGATCTCAAAATATCTACACAGAAAGGAACTGTGAGTAATACAATAAACCCTAAGTTGTCTGGCGTTTGACTTTCTGGATCTCTTGGACTTTCAGAATATTATATGACTGGATATCATCTCAAAATAAAAAACATACCAAAGGCAAGGGAACTCATTAAAAAGGCAAGAGTAAAGACTCAAGGTAGCAGCTGCAAAAGCAAAGTAGTATATGAGTTTGGTGAAACAAATAGGACCGCATGATTTAAAATTTAAAAAAAAATAAGAAAAGAAAGATGAAGAACAACAACAACTAGCAAAGTTAGGCAAAGAACAAAACAGATAAAAGAAGGAAACTGGGCATCAGTAAGGTTTACAACAAGGCAGCCATGTAGGAGGCAGTTTTTCAGAAAAGAGTTACAAAGTGGGAGAAGATAGAACAAGTCTGCAGTTGGGGGTGGGAGGGTGACAAAAACCACTTAAAATGGCTCTCATTAGCTTTCAGAACACACACAGGCTGAAAGGCTAACACAGCTACCTGAATGGCATCTCTACACGGTCCTCAGTAGAAATGATTACCATGCAGTGCATGTGCCGCTCCACAAGTGGAGAACAAGTGTCATGCTAGAGGGCCAGCAAGCAAGACAAATTCACACAATTCCGCAAGGAGTGAAAAGGCCAAGGACCAAGTTTTTAATAGTTTATCTATAAAGCACCACAAACGTTACTGAACAACCACTAAGAGTGGTGCTAAATGCTTCCGCATAAGTGAGCTATGACTGCACCACTACACTCCAGCCTGAGGGAGAGTGAGCCCCTCTTTAAAAAAAAAATGCTTTTACATACGACTGTTTTTTTCCTTGCTGATGATATAACCTACATAAGTTTAAGGCCTATCAAATAAAGGTAGCTGGGTAGAAATCTATACAATGTTCTCGAAGTGAAAACCTTCAACAAACAGGACAATGGGATGCATCCAATCTAACCAAAGCATCCTGACTAGTACTTATTATGGTGTGGCCCACAAATCACTGTTTGTTATGGAATACAAACTGACATATGGGATATTTTTAAAATATCCCCTCCTAGTTGACTACTTTCAGAAAAAGATTATTTCAGAGCAGAGGATTATCTGGCCATATGAAAGCTATCCTATTTTGGGGCAACTGTAAAACTCACTCTAAGAAAGCAAAATTACTGTCTAGGAATCCTCTTAGTATTTTGCAGCCAACTCTAATATGACTTATCTAATTTCCTTACCACCTGAAGGGTAAATCAGAACATGATGTCTTTGTAGAAAAAAAATGTAATGAGTAAGGTACAACTTTTATTTTTATTGCAGTTTCCAGCTGTAATTTTTAGGTTGCTAGAAAGCTATTTTTAAAAACTTTGAGGAAAACTTTCAGAAAATAACTGTAAGTCACATTAGCACAATGTCAGGGCTGAAAAAGGCCTGTGAAATCATTTATTCTGGAACCATTCTAAAGATAAAACTGGACCAGAGACAGGAGTTCAAGACCAGCTGGCTAACATGGCAAAACCCGTTTCTACTAAAAATACAAAAATGATCCAGGTTCACTGGCACGTGCCTGTAGTCCCAGCTACTTGGGAGGCTGAGGCAGGAGAATCACTTGAACCTGGGAGGCGGAGGTTGCCAAGATGGTGCCACTGCATTCCAGCCTGGGTGACAGGGCAAGACTCCATCTCAAAAGAATAAAGCAGACCAGAGAAGCTAAGTGAGGCCAC